CCCACTGACAAGTCTAATGAATCCCTCTTCCTGGTAACAGTCTTTCAAATCCTGAAGATAGCTATCATGAATCTCCGCCCCCCTCCCCAGTCTTCTCTTCTCCAGGCTAAGTTCCTTCAAATGATTCTCATGGGGCATGAAGTTGAAGCTCTTCACCACCCTGAATATTGTTGTTCGGTCATGTCTGACTCCTCATGACCCCATTTGGGGTTTTCTTGGCAAAGATACTAGAGTGGTTTGCCATTTTCTTCTCCACCTCATTTTACAGATGAGGAAACTGAGGCAAACAGAGTTAAGTCTTGCCCAGGGTCTCAAAGCTAATAAGTGTCTGAGACCAGATTTGAACTCATGAAGATGAGTTTTCCTGATCCCAGGCTCAGCACTGTAACCACTGAACCACCTAGCTGCCCTACCACCCTGGTTGTTCTCCTCTGGATGCTCTCACTTTCTGTTGTCCTTCTTAAAAATATGGGACGTATGCAGCACTCTTCTGAATAGCCAGAACTGTCATTTGCTTATTGCTGACATTTATGACTTTCTTAATTCAGGCTAAGGTCACATTAGCTTTCATGGATGTCATATTAAGACTGCCTACCAATATATACAGAGTAAGAGTCAAGGCGGGGGCTCTTACACTATGATTTCTAAACTTGTTATGTTAATATTTTGATAATGTAATAAGAGAATATTATGCATAACAATATATAACAACATTATACAACACAATATATTAATAATATATAATAAAATATTATGTTAATATTATATGACATGATATATTAATAATACTATGTTGATAATATTAACATATTATGTTAATAATAATATATAACATGATATATTAATAATATTATGTAATATATTATATAACAATATTGTGTTAATAATATATAATATATCATAATATTATATAACAATGTTATGTTAATAATATAGAATGATGTTCTGTTAATAATATGTAACATAATATATTAATAATATATATTATATAACAATATTATTTCTACATAATTGGTTTCCTTTGTAATCCTATATATTTTATTTTGTGCATTTAAAAACATTATTCTGAGAAAGGTTCATAGGCTTCACCAGACTGTTAAAGGGGCCCATGAAACAAGGAAAAGTTAAGAACCCTGGAGGGATGGAAAGCTGGCCTTGATGCCATGAAGACCTGGCTGTGTGACACTGGACAAATCATTTAACTTCTCAGTGCCCCCGGGCAACTCTGTAAGCCTCGAAGCCCAAGAACTGGTTCTGATCAACAATGGTAGGGGAAATTGCTGCATTAGGATTTCCCCATAACAATGAAATCAAAGGTCCAGTCCAAAAATAAATAAATGAAAGTTTATTCGCAATAGTAAGCCGAGTGCTGTGGCAGCTGAGAGAAGGGGGAAGGATGCAGCCCTGTTCTGTCGGGGCCCGGGTCTTCTTCCCCTTGTCTTTACTGTGGTGAGTATGAATCATGGGATCCCCAAAGGAGAGCTGGAAGGGACTTGGGAAGCCACACTAGTCCCCTCTCTTCATTTTACAGATGAGGCAACTAAGGCCCTGAGAATTTAAGTGATTTGCCCAAGGTCACCTAGGTTGTGTCAAAGGGGGCGTGTGAAACCAGGACATCTGACTGTTGAGCCGGTATTCTTTGCTCTCTCTTTACTGCCTCCCTTCCCTGTGGGTGTTTGTGGGTTTCTGTCCCTTTCTGGGGTGCAGTCATGGTGCTGCTCCATAGGACACACACACACACACATTGTGCTAAAACTTGAAGAGTAAGTGGTGAAATTGCAACATACTGATTAATCCCCGCAGAAACATGTCATCTCTACCTTCATTGAAAGAAGTAGAGCTCTAGCTATGTGACGCTGGGCAAGTCACTTAAACCCGATTGTCTCAACAAAAAGCCAAAAGAAAGGAAGGAAGGAAGGAAGGAAGGAAGGAAGGAAGGAAGGAAGGAAGGAAGGAAGGAAGGAAGGAAGGAAGGAAGGAAGGAAGAAGGAAAGAAGAAAGAAAGAAAAAAAGAAAGAAAGAAAGAAAAAGAAAGAAAGAAAGAAAGAAAGAAAGAAAGAAAGAAAGAAAGAAAGAAAGAAAGAAAGGAAGGAAGGAAGGAAGGAAGGAAGGAAGAAGTAGAGCTAAGGAAGGAACTCTCTGTACTGTATTAAAGTCTGCCCTTTCCACCAGTCTATTCACTCCTTGATGTTGTGCAGTTGTATTGACTCTTCATGACCTCCATTTGGGGTTTTCTTGGTAAAGATACTGGAGTGGTTTGCTTACTGCCTTCTCCCACTCACTTTACAGATGAGGAAGAGGGCAAAGAGGCTTAAGTGACTTGCTTAGGGTCACATAGCTATTAAGTGTCTGAGACCACATTTGAACTCATGAAGGTAAGTCTTCTTGGCTCTAGGCCCAGCACTGTACCCACTGAGCCCCCTAGGTGCCTGAGAGAGAGAGAAAATTTTTGCTGTTCAATCTTTTCCAACTTTCTGTGACTCTATTTCTGGGTTTTCTTAGCAAAGATACTGGAGCGGTTTACCATTTCCTTCTCCAGCTCATTTTACAGATGAGGAAGCTGAGTCAGAGTTAAGAGATTCACCCAGGGTCACACAACTGGTAAGTGTTTGAAGCCAGATTTGAACTTAGAAAGATGAGTTTTCCTGATTCCAGGTCCAATGCTCCATCCACTATACCACCTAAGCCATCCCCTTAAACTTCCCCAAATCTGATTTCCCCCACCTAGTTGCACATCTCTGTCAAAGGTTATTCAATGAATATTTTAAATGTTGATTTAACATAATGTATAACATAATATAGTCCATATGAATATATGTACATGCATATATATAACATAATATAGTCCATATGAACATATGTACATGCATGCATGCATATATATACATATATATACACATATATATACATATATATATACACATATATATATACATATATATATACACACACAGCTGTGTAGTTTGGAGGCCTCTTGCATGTGCTTTTTAAATCCTTTGTAACTTTGATAAGCCTAAATAGCATCTTTCAGATTCTATCGCCTAGCTGCTTTGCCATCTAAGCCATTTTGCAATGCAGGGACAATTTTATCTGTTCTCATCTCAGTATGGTGAAGGTATGAATAAATGTAGGCACTAAATGATGAAATGAAATATAGAGATAACAAACCTTGCTTGCAGTGGAAGAGCAGATAAGAAAACAGATTAAGAGTTATGCAATTTTAACCGATTAGTAAAATGATGGGAGCTAAATATGATGCTGATGTCTCTGTTTTGACATTAATTTGGCTGATTTTCCCCAGTCTGAGGTCATTTTTTAGTAGTGACTGTAAGTGTGGAGGATAAATAAAGTATCTTCCATTTCTCCACTACCTTCCCTCTCCGCTACTTTCTGCCATTGCTCTGAGTTACCCATATCCTACCTTCCATATTTCTATAAAAGTGTGAGCACACCTCCCTGACTCAAACTTATATTCTCCATCCAGAAGAATATAAATTAATGAGGGCAGGTACTTTCTATTGTCTTTGTGTCTCCCAGATCTTAGGGCAATGCTTATAAGCCTTTAATAAATGTTTGTTGAACTGAATTGAAATTGTATTAGGCCCTTTCTTTTCCTTCTTTGAATATCTGAGTGGGCTTTCCCTCCCCCCTTCCATCTAACTCCCTAGTAAACTCATTCTTCAGAATTTGATCCATGTGTACTCAATTGTGCATTGATTGAATTCTTAGATTTGACCTGTGAATTCTTGTAACCTTTTGGGTTCCTCTAAGATTGTTATGAGCCTTTTGTCTGGGAGTCTTTGGATTTGTCAACATCGTGGGTTTCAATTGAGAGGCTCCTGAAGGCCGAGTATGGTGGCCACCTACCTCAATTTGTACAGTGCCCAAAACATCACAGACCTCAATGTTTGATTAAAAAAAATTTAATGGAAATTGTAATGAGAGTTGACACCATTAGCTGACCCAAGCTTCACAACAATCCCATAAAGCAGATAAAATTACTTGAACCCCAGATTACAAATGAGGAAATAGGAGTCTACCAAGGAAAAATTATTTATCCAGTTAGTATTGGAGTCCACACTAGAACCAAGACGTCATGATCTTTCATCTGGGGTTCTTTGGGGCCATCATTACATTACTCAACTAGCAATGGAGAGCAGTGAGGCATGTGATTTCTCCCTAAGGGTGCTTGAGGCAGAGATGCAGATGCCCTCATGCATGGAAATTAAGAAAACAGTTCTTGGACCCAGCCTTGGAGAGGTAATGATATATAACCTCTTAGCTCAAGAGATAATAACCATGGAAAGGAGCATCATGGGGCCAAGTGGTCCCAGCTTCCTGTGGGGAGATTTCCTGGACAGTAACAGTCCTGGGTTGCCATGCTGGCAACTTTAGTTCAAAAGTTCCAGAATTTTGCCTTCTAGAGAAAGAAGGAATGTTCTTGATCAGCACCAGTCTCTTGGGAGAAAATATTCAAACCTCCACTCCCCAAGGTCTCCTCTTCTCAACCCCTTACCTCTGAGCTAAAGGAGTAATGTTGCTTTTCATAAAGATTCCAAACAGGCTCTGCATTATACCACTGTAATGCTCTTTTCCTGGTAATAATGTCACCTGCCCCATTTATTCATTCAACATTCATTGGTTCATTTGTCCATTTTTGAGTACCTATTCTGGGCCAGACTCTGCTAGGTGCTAGAGACACAAAGAAAGAAAATGAAATTCTTCTTGCCCTCAGGTTGCTTACATTCTCCTGGAGAAGGAAAAAATGTTTCTACAGATAAGTAAATTCAATAACTATAGATTAAATACAAAGTAATCGTAATTTGGGGCAGCTAGCTAGCTCAGTGGATAGAGCATTGGGCTTGGAGTCCTGAAGACCTGAATTCAAATCTAGCCTCAGACACTTACTAGCCATGATCTTTGGCAAATCACTTAACCTCTGTTTTCCTTAATCCAATGGAGAAAGAAATGGCAAACTGCTCCAGTCTCCTTGCCAAGAAAACCCCAAATGGAGTCATGAAGAGTTGGACAGAACTGAAATGGCTGAACAACAACAGTTTGGCATGGGGCAGGGTCTCCTCTTGGAAGGAAGTGGCATGAGCTAAGCCGCAAAAGAAACCAGGGATGCTAAGGGGAAAAGCTAGGAGGGAAGTCTTTGCAGGCCTCGGGTAATTCTCTGTGGAAAAAAAAGCACAGACATGGGCACAAATCTGGTGGTATTTTATGTTGAGGACAGCCATCTTAAAATAATAGCCAATATTTACACAGCCCTTTAAGGTTTGCAAAGTAATTTACTCATGTTACCTCACTTGAGCCTGTGAAGTACATGTCCTTATTTTACAGATATAGAAACAGAGGCTGAAAGGGAAGAGGAGGCTTGACCAGAGTCATACAATTAGCAGGTATCTGAGGCAGGATTCGAAGTCAGACCTTCCTGACTCTAAGTCTGACACTGAATTGTGTCACTTAGCTGCCTAAAAGCTAAGGCTATGCTAGGCCAGAGGTTCTTGATTTGAGGTCCATAAATTTGATTGTATTTTTAAAAACATTTTATAGCTATATTTCAATAAAAATTTGTATCCTTTGTAATGCTATGTCTTTTATTTTAACATTATTCTGAGAAGGGGTCCATAGGCTTCACTGAACTGCCAAAGGTGTCCATGAAACAAAATGGGTTAATAATCCCCGTACTGGGCCATGGTCTTCACTAAGCCAGCACAGAGTCTCCTTCTTGGTTGTTACTGTTTGTTTCTGAAGAAGTTTTTCCAGTAGAGGAAAAGGATGCTGAAATTCTGGGCTTAAAAATCCTGAGGAACTGTTTCTTATAGCCTTGGGATGCAAAGAAGTAAATTATGGGGTCAATACAACAGTTCATGTTCATAAAACATACTGTGACTTGAAGAGAAACCTTAAAAGCCTTTTGCTCAGTGCAGGTAGACTGATAAAGCAGTCCTTTAATCACAAACCGGATAATATTGAAGTGGTAAGGACTAAAGCATATGATCACTGCCATCAGCACCAGCAGAATAACTAGACAGGCCTTCTTATGGTGACCATTCTTGCTCCTCACTGAGTTTTCTTGAGCTATCCTGCATAGCTTTAAGGTGATTTTCACATAACAAAATAATATGATCCCCACTGGCCCAAAAAAGCCTAGGGCACAGCCCCCTAGGAGTAGAAGGGGCAGGCTAAGAATTCTTTCAACACTGGTGTACTCCATGCAGCTCAACTTAACTCCTATCTTCTTGGTCAAGGGCAGAAAGAGCAACGGAATTGTCTGCAGGGATGCCAACCCCCAGACCACTACACAGATGTACTTTGCCCAGCCAGCACAGCGGAATTTGTGACTCTGGTTGGCATGGACCACAGCAATATAGCGGTCAATGCTTATACATGTCATGAGGTAGACACTCCCATAGGTGTTCATGTAGAACATAAATGCTGTCACTCTGCAGAACCAGTCACTGAAAGGCCAATTGAAGTCTAAGACATAGTAGGTGATCCTTCCTGGCAGAGCCAGGGTAAAAAGGACATCGGAAACAGCCAAGTTGATCAAGTAGAGATCTGTTGAGTTCATCTTCTTCTTTTGAGAGGTGATGTAGATGGCAAGAATGTTCCCAAAGGCACCGATGACCAAAAGGACCATGTAGAATACTGACAGAACCACTCTTGTGGCCAAGGAGGGATGGTGAATGGAGCAGAAACTGTCATTGAGTGGGAAGTTACTTGTGTTCACCAAACTGGAAGCCATTGGAGGCAGGTCGTCAGAGAAGAAATTTTGCTGAGGAAATACAATTTTTTTTTAATCTTTAAAGCAGAAAAACATTTAAATCTGTTATGTCATTCGTCTTTGTTAACATTGATTTCTTTTACATAATTCCATTTTGATCAACTATGTTCTTTCTGTTCACTGAATGCCTAAATGAATGAATGAATGAAAAGGCAGATACAAATACAAAAAATATACGAATATAAAAATACAAAAAGAAGATAGTCCCTGCTCTCAAAGAGCTCACACTCTAATTGAAGGAGGTAACACACAAAGGAGCTACAGTGCATATGGTAAGAGCCAAACCAATTCTAAACTATAAGAGATAAGGACAGGCAGGAGTACAGGTCTATCTACCCTACTCCTACACAGTGAGTAAAGATAGACATTATTATCCCTGTTTTACAGATGGGGAAACTAAGGTATCAAAAGAGTTTTGTTTTTTTGTTTTATTTTGTATTTTTGATACTCATGGTTCTAGAATTACTTGCACCTTCACTGTTTGGTACGGCAACCAAATGAGCTCCAGATTGGAAAGTGACCATAACCTTGGCTCCGCACAACAGTGAGAACATGATTATTGCTGCTGTTTTGAGAAGACGTGACCCCCCCCAAAATCTCTCAATTAGATGAGAATGCTACTGCTGGTGACATTAGTTCTAGAAATTGTAGGGCTTCCTCTAGAAACCTCTTCAATTTACCACAGTGCTGATGGTCACTTTCATAAAAATGAAGCATGTGGCATTATTACCAGGAAAGGAGCATTATAGGAGTATAAAGCAGAGCCTGGTTGGAATAGCATGGTGCCTGACACATAGTAAGTGCTACATAAATGTCAGCTATTATCATTATATTAATTGTATATAAGAATATATCATATATGACATAATGTTGCATATAATATATAATGCTGATTGTTATTATCATTATCCAATTTCCTTAGCTTGTCATCACCCTATATTTACTCCCAAACTCTATGTACATCTTCCCCTTTCCCACCTTGATGCTTTTGCCTATCTTGTTCACCAACTCCCACAATGCCCTCTCTTCCCAATGCCCAGCAATCCTTTGAGTCCAGATCAAATGCCAGCTCCTCTGTTAAGCCTTCCCTTGTAACCTGTTGCCAGGAGTTTTCTTTGTCATGTAATCCTTTTGGCAGTCTGGTGAAGAATATTGACCCCTTCTCAGAGTAATGTTTTTAAATGCAAAAAGTAAAATATAATAGGTCACAAGGGAAACTAGTTATATTAAAATACAGTTGTTGAAACATTTTAAAAAAACAAAAAACAATTTATAGACCCCATGTTACAAACCCCTTTCCTGGTCTAAAATGACCTTTCTAATTGCTTCTCATTTTCTAATATCTTAATGGCTCATGTATGGGTCTTACATAGCTTCTCCACCAGAGTCCTCATCATGGTATGGAGCTGACCTTGTGCCCTCAAAAACCAACAAAGCAGAGCAGAAAGCTATGGCAAGTCCTAGCAAGATGAAATCCTTCAAATATAGGTGCATTGATGAGACATCTGGTCTTAGTCTAAAGACCAGCCTAACTTCTGAGAGGCTCAGCATCAAATAGAATGGAGGGTGACTAATTTTTTCAGCCAATTCTGGAAGACCCATCTATTGAAAACTGGAGAGGAGTTAGAATCTATAGCTGCAGATAGAATAACAAGGAAAATGGCAGGTAGTTGGAGTATTGATGTACATGCCTAGCCCTCCTATCAAGATGTAAGCCCCATGAGATAAGAGATTTGATCTGATCCTGAGTGGGAGTATTGAATAGCTGATAGAGTACTTGAAATCAAGAAAACCTGGGTTCAAATCCTGCCTTGGACACATACTAGCTGTCTGATCTTGGTCAAGTCACTTAAACTTTAAGTGCTCCAGGTGACTCCCTAAGACTATAAGGTACAGATGATTTGCTCTTTTTTTTTTAAATAAAAAAGTTATTAAGTGCATCCTATGTGCCAAGCATTGGAGACACAATAGAAACAGATAGAGTCTATTAAGGAATAGTTCAATGGGATCATCACCTCCCTCACTCTGGATACTACTTTTGTTAGCCTAAAACCCCTTAGCATTATGCCACTTTGTTAACTCATATTGACCCCTAAGTCTTGATAGATGACTCACTGAGGCAGATGGAATATCAGAAGTCAGAAAGATCTGGATTCAAATCCTAGCTGTGGGAAACAGGCAGGCCATGAGACCCTGGACAGATCTCTTAACTTCTCAGTGCCCCAGGAAACTCTCTAAGACTATAAGGTACAGGTGGACTTGTCAATGCAAATAAAGTCCATGCAATTGAGAAGACCTGGATTCAAATCCTGCCTGGAACCATGAGCAAGTAATTCCAGTAATTTAACTTCTCAATACCCTGAGACAACTCTAAGATTCTAAGTTGCTCAGCTCTGTCAATAGATAGAGTTTCCACACCAGAAGCTCCCTTTACAGATGCAGTCACAGGTCTGGATATATTTGTCTTTAATCCCCCCTAATATCCAGGACAGTGCATTGTACTACCAACTGTTTGTTGAGTGAATGGAGTGAGCAAATAAATGTACATGAAATGCCACCATATTAGTGATAGCCTATTTTATTTAAATGGCAAAGCTATCTCCCTCCTGCCTATTGTCCTGCTAAATTCTGTAGTTCTGAAACACAAACCAACATAGGGATAAGCTGCCTTAAAAAGTCCTCCCTATTCTGTGTATTTCACTCTACCAAGAGAATAGGCAGGGGTGAAAATGGGCAGAAGTGGCTGCCAGGCCCTGATCTGGCATCTAAGTTGATCTGTTAGCAGACATAGAGCGACATCAGCAGATGTTATTCTCTTTGCTAATGTTTCCCTTTGAATGCTACTTGAAGTCCTGATGCCAGCACAGTCCTCAGCTTTCAACTCACCTCAATGACCCAAGGAAAAGAGACAGGGAAGCCAGCTGTACTTGGTCCAGTCGGCCACTTGTTCTCTAATGTGAACCAGAAGAAGTGATGGAAGCTTGCTTCAGCATATGCGCCCTCAAGCAAGAACTCAAGGTACCTGCCACCCACACTGAGTGCCATGCTCCTCCTCCACTGAGCTTACACCCTTTGAGGGGGAAAACAGGTAGCAACCAACATGATCTTCATAGCTGCAGCTCCCAGCTACAAACAGAATGCCTTTGTGAACCTACCACCAACCCACAGCTGAATCCAGAAAAAGATCAAGATTCTTTCTTTCTTTTCTTTTTTCTTTTTTTCTTCCTTCCTTTCTCTCTCTCTCTCTCTCTCTCTCTCTCTCTTCTCTCTCCTCTCTTCTCTCTCTCTCTCTCTCTCTCTCTCTTTCTCTCTTTCTTCCTTCCTTCCTTTCTTGCTCCATTTTTTTCTTGTGTTCCCTGAAGGCTGGGATTTAAACTATAAATGTGATTATCAAAGAGCCTGCTTTGTAAACCCACCAGAGTCAGGAAATTCAAAAGCCTCTACCTTTCCCCCTCTGACTGTGAACGATGTGCTGTGTAAAGCAATGAGCACCATCTAGGGACATCTCCACTTACTTAGATGACATAGGCTAAGGATGAGTGGAGACTCAGCCTGGGCTCTGTCTGACTTTCTGGGATTTGGGGATCCTGGGAAGGAGCCTTAATGGTTCCTGAACAACTCCATTTGCAGCTCAGAAAGCTAGGGAGCCAAAAGTACTCTGCAGAGAATGCACTAGCCCACCTTGATTACAAACGAGAGGCAATGCCTCTTCCCCAGCAGGAAGAAGCAGGAGGCTGACATAGCCAGTTCCCCAGCTTGGCTCCCCTCTCTGATTTCCCACAGTAAGATGTTGCCTTCTACACAGCTGGAAAATAAATGAGTTGCTCCAACCATTCTTTGATTAAGACTCTTGCTTCATGAAGCAGCTGAACCATCAGCTCTGAATTCTTGTGTTTTCTATCTGACTTCCACTGGAATGAAGCATCGGACAGCTCCGTCTTTTAGAGTATTACCTGGAACATGTTTTTATTTTTAACCTGTTTTATCCCAGGCATGGACCTATCCCTGCCTCAGTTTCCCCATTAAAAATATAGTTCCTGATCCTTGCCTACTCATCTTTCAAAAATCATGAGCTTCTAAGGCCATAGGCCAAATTTTCCAGGGTGAAAATGAGGCATTCTTAGAAGCTTCAAAAGGTCTTTTAAACTTGTTGGGTACCATTTCCATAATGAGCCCTCATTTTTTTTTTTTTGGTTAGAAAAAAAAAGTCTTATCAATGCCTTTTGTTCTTACATCAGTCACATCAGTTACATTCCCCACCCCAGACCTGAACACTCCCCTGTAACAAAGAAAAACAATTCAGTAAAAACAAGAGATAGAGTGACTATATCTGACAATACGTGCCATGCTGCCCTTCTTGTCCTCTGCCTCTGCTAAGGGGAAGAGGGGAAGGGGAGGGGCTGGCATTTCATTATCTCATCTCCAGTACCATTATTGCTTTTTCAGTCATTACAGTTTGTCTTCCTTTCAATGATTTGTTCCTTTACATCGCTGTAGTCATTGTATATATTGTCTTTCTCTTCTACTTTTTCCTGTTTTACTGCCTACGAATCTCCCACCGTTTCTCTGAATGTCTCTTCTTTGTCAGTTTGACGCAGCCTTGACTTCCTAAGCGAATCCTCCCATCGGAAAGAGTAGCCTTCATCAAGCACGACATTTGTCCAGACCCTGGGGGCAACAGTTACTGGAGTTGTCATCTGCCACTGCCAGGACCTCAGAACCAGGAACGATTCCAACCCTTTCCTCCCTTCCCATGCCACCCCATTGAGAAGGCAAACAATTAAATATCGGTAGTATATTGGCAGTTTTATTGATAGTATATAGGTAGTTTTCATGTGTAGTCATGAAAAACATTTCCATAATAGTCATGTTGTGAAAAAACATGTAGAGCAAAAAAACCCACACACACACACACAAAAACCAAAACAAAACCCTCAAGAAAAATAAAGAAAGCAAAAAAAAAAAGCATGCTTCAATCTGTATTCAGACACCATCAGTTCTTTCTCTGGGGATGGATAGCATTTTTCATCATAAGTCCTTCAGAGTTTCTTGCATCTTTGTATCACTGAGAATAGCTAAGTCATTTATAGTTGATCATCTTACAATATTGCTGTTACTTTGTATACAGTACATTTCACTTTGCATCAGCTCAGACAAGTCTCTCCAGGCTTTTCTGAGAGCATCCCAATCATCATTTCCCATAGCATAATAGTATTCCACCACAGTTAAATACCACAACTTGTTCAGCCATTCCCCCACCCCATATCTGTCTTTGCACTGATTATACCCCATGCTTAGAATGCACTCTCTTTTCACCTCTGCCCCTTCAAAGTCTTTGTTTCCTTCAAAACTTTGCTCCAATTCCACATTCAACATGAAGCCTTTCCTGGTTCTCCCTCATCTACTAGTGCTTTTCTAAGTACTATATCTATATCTATATCTATATCTATATCTATATCTATATCTATATGCCTATGCCTGTATCTATATCCATATATACACATACATACACATGTATTATATTATATAATATTACATATGCATATATCTATAAAATATGAGGTACTTAGGAAGAATATATGTTGTTCTAGTTCAATCATTTTCACTTGTGTCCAACTCTCCATGACCCCATTTCAGGGTATTTGGCAAAGATAATGGAGTGGTTTGCCCTTTCCTTCTCCAGCCCATTTTACAGGTGTGGAAACTGAGGCAAATATGGTTAAAGTGACTTGCCCAGGATCACACAGCTAGTAAATGTCTGAGGTCACATTTGAACTCAGGTCTTCCTGATTCCATGGTACTATTTCCACTTGCCACCTAGCTGTCCCATGTATATATGTATATCTCGGGTTTTTTCTTCTCTCTTCTCTCTCTCTCTCTCTCTCTCTCTCATACACACACACACACACACACACACACACACACACACACACACACACTGGAATGTAAGTTCCTTAAGGAATGAGTGTTTCATTTTTGTCTTTGAATTGCCAGGCATATGCGAGGCATTAATAAATGCTTATTGATTTATTGATTCATCTTCCTTTGCCTCAGTCTGATCTACCTATCTCCCAGGACCAACTAGGATATCATATTTAAAGTGTTTTGTATTTAATGCTGACTATAATTATTAGCTAGCACAAGGTTATATACTCGAAATACACTTGCTAATGATTGCTATAGTATCCCACTTCTTTAGCAAAGTAAGATGCTCCTGGATACTTTCTTTTTTCGGGGTTTTTGTGCTATTGATCACTTGGTTCTCTTTTTTTTTTAATTTTTAACTCTTCAGGTTAAGTGACTTGCCCAGTGTCACATAGCTAGTGTCTGAGGCTGGATTTGAATTCAGATTTTCCTGACTTGAGTCTAGGCTCATATCTACTGCGCCACCTAGCTCCCGCATTGTGAATTATGCCTACCCAGTATTTATTGCATCTGACTCCTTCTCTATTTATACAGCCACTACCTTAGATCAAGTTCTTATTTACCACCATTTACCAGGACTACTGCAAATAATCTCCTACTTGGCCTCCATGCCTCCAATCCATCTTTATTTGATCTTCCACACAGTTGCCAAAGTGATATTCCTAAATCATAGGTCTGACCATGTCACTCAAAAAGCTCTAATGACTCCCTTGGGGATCAAATATAAACTTCTTTTAGGTTCTTATAGCCTTTCAATACCTGATTCCAAACTACGATTCTGGGGCCATTACATATCATTCGTCTTCATTCCAGCTAAATGGGCCCATTTGTTCTGTCTTATGAACAACATCCTGTCTCCTGTTTCCATGTCTTCGTACCTTCCATGCCTGGAATATACTCCTTCCTCAGCTTTTCCTTTTAGAATACTTAGCTTCCTTCAAAGCTCAGGCTCCCTCCTATGTTAAGCCTTTCCTGATCCCGCCCAGCTGCTAGGAGTGGCACTCTGTTCCTGAAAAAGCTGGTGCCTATAATCGATTGGGGAAAGGGGAAGCATTGTTTCATTTTTGTCTAAATATCCTGAGTGCCTAGCACAGCAATTGGCATATAGTGGGCCCTAGATGAGTATCTGATAATGAATTAATTAACTGACTCTGTTTCTGCTTGGGCCATTTTTCTTCCAGAGTTTGACTCTATAGGAGAAAAATGTTTGAATGACTATATGAATGAATGAATGAATCTCCTATGGTCTAGTGGCTTCCTTTGCACCCTACTAGTCAGATCAAAGGGACTGAGATATAATGTGATCTATGATATAATGTTTCCATGAACTAGCCTCCCCTTTATTAGGGAATGGGGGGCCTCTGATGGTCTTTTATACCCAGGGGAGTAAAAAGTGTAAGCAGACTTCTGCCACAGACTAGGTCCCTTGGTGGGTTGGGAAGAGAGGAATGAGTGATTATGGATTGAAATTGGATAAATGATCAGTGGGATAGCAGTGACAGAGTTGGCTAAAGACCACAGTAGTCCCAGAAAGCTCAAGCACACAAACAGTCTTTCTGGTAATACATCTCCGGGTACAGTGATTCAGATCTTGAGATCATGTGGTTGGTGAAGTTGGAGACCACGTCCTGCTGGCATCAGCAGTTCACACTCTGAAACAACTTCACCGGGCACTGATTTCTGACATGAATTTGTGCTGGCAGAATCCTAGCAGAGATGATGTTTGTATCTGATTTCTGTGGTTTGTGCACATTTGGTCCCGTGAGTACCTCCTGTGACTAAATCACATGGGGAGTCACTGTCACTTTAATTCAAAATAACAGCCTGAGTCCTAAAGCATTTTTATCTAGCTGATATGGAGAGAGGAGGAAGGGAGGAATAGAGAGTGAGGATAAGAGGAAGTGAAAGGATTAAGGAGTTGTTTGTTTCTTTTTTTTTTCATTTAATTTGAAGTTTTTTGTTTTTTTTTAAAGTAAGAAGTGCCCAGGAAACTCTCTGATAACATTTATTGTGGAGCCAGTACTGATCTGCACTGCTAAAAGGAACTTCCTCACTGGGAGTTCCCAACATTACAATCTAGTTTAAAAAAAAAAG